CTGGTCTCAAACTTGTGAGCTCAGGCAATCCACCATCCTCAGCCTCCCAGAGTGCGGGGATTATAGGTGTGAGCCACTGCGCCCAGCCTGTGTACTTTATAAATATAATTGAAACAAAAGTTTTGTTACAGTGTGTGCTGATATTTTCTATTTAATTTTGTGTTTTAAAAATCCTGATTACAACCCACTAAATTGATTTTACAACCTACAAGCTTGAAAAATAACTTTGATTAACTTTCAAAATTACAAAACCTTCAACCTCAAAAACATTTGTTTTACTGAAAGTCACTACTGTAAATGAACATTTTATATGAATTTGAATGTGTTTGTTATTTATAACCTATATGCTTAAAAGGATTTGTGGTATCTAAGAAATTAATTTTAGTGTTTTTAAAAAACCCTGAAAAACAGAAATTTCAGAAATGATGTTTAGTACTAAATTAGATCCATATAGTCCTAATACTCACAAACTATTACTAAAGTAGCATTTTTATTTTTCTACTCATAATATCAAAACATCAAAAATAAATCACTTGATTCTATCTGAAGAAGACCTATACCATTCTTGTTATCCAATTTGGGGTTCTATGAATCACTGCAGAATGCCCAAATCTATCTCAGGCATTATTGATTTCAATAATGTAGCAATCTGGTACCCACAGGAGGTTTAAAACTTCTTGGTGTATGTTTAATTGGCTTGACATTGGCAAGGTTGTACACGGGGTCTACCACTAACTAGAGAAGCATTACAGGTTTCATGGTATAGCACCTTTATTGAACTACAAGGATCCAAAGACTTAATGATCTCTGGTGAATCACTTATTAGTCTTTACAAGGAGCGTGGGAGTTGGTACCTGCAATAGCAGGAGGTTAGGCCCTTGCTGAAGCTGTCATTTGGAGGAACCATATTGTTAGTATGGTACCCTTAGTGGAACTTACAGCTAGCGTTGTTACTTATTTGAACTTTATATTTGACTAGACTCTGAGTTTACAGCTTCTCTTTACCCCTAGGATCACCTTTCAGTGGAACCACATGGACATTCGTTTTGTTCTTCCTCTGTTATGACCTATTCCAAAGTGGGAGATGAACCACCAAAGGTTTTCCAGGCCTCAACTCAAACGCGTAGGGCTCCGGGAGGAGTAAGTATTTTTTAAGCCTTTTTAGAGCTCTATAGTTATGGGAAGATAGACTGTATTTTAAATATTTTAATTAAATGTTGATCTTTCCTGGGTTGGCAGAAGGGAGGGGAAGGCAGTTGCCACTGTGAAAACATTAAAGCTCGACTCTGTTAACTTAGTTTATGACCATCGTTTTGCCCTCCCACGAGGATACCTTTTTTCATGTAATATCCATTGATGTTTATTACCTTTACATGTTGACAAGTCAAATAAACATTCACAGAAAGAAGCTTTTGTGTCTGAAGTAAATTAATTTTTTAACTCATGAAACGTTTCAATGTAAAAAAGGATATGTAGCATAACATAATGAATACCCATATTGCTACCACCCAATTTAGTCATATCCTGACTTTTTTTCCTATAGGCTTCAGGTTGTCTCTTGTTTTGTTTTCTTTTTAATCATAAACTCTGTGGATGCAGCCAGCTAAAGGATCTGGTGCACTCCTCGGAGGGGGGGCCTTTTCCTTTACTCCCTCCCTAGACATAACCACTTCCCTATATCTAGAGTTAATCATTACTAATATATGCATGATAAAAATACAATGGATTACTTTGCAGGGTTCTAAACTTTATATAAATGGTATCATATTGCCTGTATCCCCTACAGTTTGCCTTTACTCAGTTATATGCTTTTAAGATTTATTAAAGTTGGTTTGTGCAGTCTCTGGTTTATTTAACTTTCATATAGTGTCGATATTTTGTTCATTTTCTATTGATAGATATGTAGGCGTGTCTAATTTTTTCCCTAAGTCATCCTCATACTTGTCTCCTTATGGAGAGGATCTAGGAATGGTATTGCTGGGTTGATGTGTGCTTTCATCTTTACCTAGAAACTAGCAAGATACTATCCCACAGAGAGTGAAACTATTGGCTTTCACCAAATGTAGTAGCAGTGTTTCCATTTCTTCACTTCCTTGTTAGTAAAATTTCAGGTATACTAGTCTAATGAGTGTGAAGTAGTTACTTTTTAAGTTCTCTAACATAAAGATAGACCTTTCAATGATGCTTTTGCCATAATTACATTAATGTCATCTCACACATTTTAATTTTAACTTACTGAAAGTGACAAGTCTTATATTTAAAGAGTAGAATTGTAGATTTCCCACAGCAAATCATCTTTCTTTTTTTTATTTTATTAAATCATAACTGTGCACATTAATGCAATCATGGGGTACAGTATGGTGTTTTCATATACATTCTGAAATACTCTCATCAAACTGGCTAACGTAGCCTTCATGTCATTTTCTTAGTTATTGAGTTAAGACATTCGTACTCTGCTTTTAGAAAGATTCACTTGTATCCTTGTAGGATAAACCATAGAGGTGACCCCACCAGCAAATCATCTTTCTAATCTTCACTTATCATAAATATACTAATAACATTTCCATAGTGTTGATAGGTGGGAACCAACCATGAGATTCAAGCTTATCAGCATGACAGGTGAATAATTAGCTTATTTGTAGGAATGCTAATGTGAACTTCTATCTATTGTCTTGTATTGTCAAAGACAATATTAAAGGCACTACATTTTCCATAATTTTTTTTTCTTTTGAGACAGAGCCTCAAGCTGTTCCCCTGGGTAGAGTGCTATGGCATCACAGCTCACAGCAACCTCCAATTCCTGGGCTCAAGCGAGTCTCCTGCCTCAGCCTCCCAAGTAGCTGGGACCACAGGCGCCCGCCACAATACCTGGCTATTTTTTGGTTGCAGCAATCGTTTTTGGCAGGCCCGGGCTGGATTCAAACCCGCCACCTGAGCCACAGGCACTGAGCCTCCATAATTTTTATTGTTTGTTTTAATATTTGATTATAATTTGGAAGATGGTTAGATTGTATTGGTTCTATTTTTGGTTAGATTCTACTGGTTCTACCATAACTTTACTACAGGTTGATAGTAGAACTGAGGACTCACTATTTTTAGAGCAGTAGATCTAAGGCTTTACCTCCATAGGTAAATAGGCCCTGAGGAATTTAGCATTATATCCATTATATATATTTAAATAGCAAGTAAACATTTTTTATTTTCTTTATTTTTATAGATAAAGGAAACCAGGAGAGCAATGAGAGATTCTGACAGCGGACTAGAAAAAATGGCTGTTGGTCATCATATCCACGACCGAGCTCATGTCATTAAAAAGTCAAAGAATAACAGGACTGGAGATGAAGAGGTCAATCAAGAATTCATCAACATGAATGAAAGTGAGTTATCACAAAAATGATGTTCTTTCTTATAAAGTTAAAATAAAGCTGTAGCCAGGTGTGGTGGCTCACGCTTGTAATCCTAGCACCCTGGGAGGCAGAGGCGGATGGACTGCCCTGAACTCAGAGGTTTGAGACCAGTATGAGCCAGAGTGAGATCCCATCTCTACCAAAAAATAGCCGGACGTTCTGGCAGGTGCCTGTAGTCCCAGCTACTTGGGGGCTGAGGCTAGAGAATCACTTAAACCCAAGGGTTAGAGGTTGCTGTGAGCTATGACTCCACATTACTCTACTGAGGGCCACAAAGTGAGACTCTGTCTTCATAAAAAAAAAAAAAAGCGAAAAAAATTTAAAAAAAAACTTCAAACTAAGAAGATTGAAAGCCAATTGAAAGCAAAATTAAAAAAAATAAAATAAAGCTGTACTTGCAGAACTTGATTAATATATTTTGTAGAACTTATCATAAGATGTAGTTTCTGAATAATATATAACATTTATATCGAAGTAATAAAATTGTTGTCTCATCATTTCATTAGTAGATCTTTTTTATACCTATTTTGGAATTGTATAATATTTATTTTTAGTCTTTTATACTTGGAAAATGAAATTGTTTGAATTGTTAATAATACTATCAATGGGAAAAATGAGTTTTAAAATATTTTTTCTGATTGTGAAGGAAGTATATTTGAAAAGCATAAAGACAAAAATAAAAATCGTCTATAATCCCATCCCCAAATAACTACTATTAGTATTTTAGTAATTATCTTTCTAATAGTTTTAGAACTATCTTTCTAATAGTTTTATGTATATATTAGCATACATAGATTTCTCAAATTAGTATTTTACGATCGATGTAGTTTATATTGTGCTCATCGTTATAATTGTAAACTGTCACCTAATATGTACTTTTTCAAAAACAATAAGTGATTACCTAAAATTTTTATTGTGAATAGGCCATAATTTATTTAAACCATTCTTTATTGTCAGACAGTTGAACTTTCATACCATATATAAAAATCTTATATATATGATTTTAATTTCTGGTATATGATAGATAATAAATCATATCAAGTAAACATTTCCATTTTCTAGATTTAATATTCATTCCTCAATATATTTAAGCCCTTCCAGTGTCATAATTCTTCTCAAACTCTTAGTCTCAAGTAATCCTCCCACCTCAGCACCCTAAAGTGCTAGGATTACAGCAGTGAGCCACCATGCCTGGCCAACTTATTATAAGTCTTTAATTATATTAAAATGTGTTTACAAATTTAATAAATTTAAATTGCTTCACTAATTTTAATATTGATAATTAAGCTTTCATATTTTATTACTTAAATTTCATTTATTAATAATAACATAATTATATTAGAACTTAATTATGTTCATCTCCTACTTTCAGAAAGTATTTTGAACAATTTTTTATCATAATAAGGGGTTTAAATTATTATATCATTTTGGAAAAACATTATATTAAGATTGGAGTTTGATAAAATTATTTATGTGCTGTGAGATGGAAGCCTTAATATCTTAACTTTTCTCTAATTGTAACCTTTATAATTTTATCATATTTAAATATATACTGAGTATTTCACAATATTTAGCATGTTGGAGAAAAATTTAGTGAAGGAGCACATTATTATAAAAGCAACCTGAAAGAACAAGTACTATCTATTGTTGCTATTACAGAATTAGATTGCCTGTTCCCTCACAGCATGAATTGACAATCTACCTGACTAACCCGTTGGTCTTAAGAAATTAATGACAGAATCTTGTGAGGTTAAGTTAGATAAGATGATGGTGAGGTGATCGAAGTTCCAGCCACAGAAGTGTTCACATGTTCAGGAGCAGCATGCTCACTGTGAGATAGATGATGCAGGAAGACTGTCAGTGTAATTGGGTCAATGGGTCCATTCGGTAGAATGATACGATATCCAGGCAGGTGAAAAACCAGATCATCGAGAATCAGATCAGCAATAGGAGAGGAACAAAGAGGAAAAGAAATACAGTAGAACCTCTGTAAGTTGACCACCCATGGGACTTTAACAAACTCATCAACATATGGAGGTGGTCCACCTAAGGAACTAGGCCTACCATACTGATTACATGGGGTGCATGTCCAGTCTGTGAAAATTAGGTCAACATAAGAAGGGGGTCACTGTAGGGAGGTGATCAATAGTGGACGTTCTACTGTATTACCCTCGTTAAAACCTTTCTATCTGAAGCACTTCCTGCCTTTGTCTTGGGCTTACACTGATGGAAACACCAGCCTAGAATGAAGTGTGTGGGGATCAAGGCCGTTACTGACCAGTGATACCTTAATACTTACTCCCATTATTTCCTTATGTTATACAGATGACGCTCATGCTTTTGATGATGAGTGGCAAAGTGAGATTTTGAAGTACAAACCGGGAGGACAATACCGCAATCTAGAAAACTCTGGAATGCGGAGTGTTGGTCATGACAATTTACGATCTCGAGAACTTAAAAGAAGGTAAAACTTATTTCTAAAATAGATTATGTATTTTAAGAAAAATTAGAAGAAAAGTTTTGTAATTTTACTTTTGTTATCAGAAAGTTTTGATGAACATCCAAGTTGTATCCTCAATATTTTTTATGAAAGATGTAATAATTTTATATTTAATACAAATAGTCCACAAATTTAAATTTGTATCTAAAACCAATAATATTTTAGGATTGTATGGTTAGCAATTTACTAGCAAACTATGCTTCAGAAAGTAGAAGCCAAAATCCTCTTAAGGAAAAGTGATAAATCTTATAAAACAGATTCTAATTTGGATATAGACAGAGTCACGTATTTCACACCAGGTAAATATAGTTGTGTCTAGAGAGATGGTGAGGAGAAATGAGCTGTATTTAGAAGACTTAATAACTTCCTTAACAAGTCAAATCCAGCATTTGATGTAGATGAAATTTTAGACATTTGTATAATATATATACAAGTATATATACAATGTGTGAAATACCATATTTCATATGCATTGGATATTTTATAAAAATTTTGCAAAAGCTTTAGCTTCCCAAGGGATTTCTTTTTGGAATAGCTATAAAAAAATGTGCTAAAATCACACATTAAAAATTGTAGACATTTTTATACATTTAATACATATTTTTGAGTTACTATTTGATTTGGTTCCCTGGGGAAAAATTGAAAACAGTACCTAATTCCTATTGAATATACATCAAGTGAGAGAGAGGCCTCTCCAGGCCTTAAGACAGAAATCTGTTCTAGGCTATAAGAGAGTGGAGGATTGCTGCAGAAGGTGGACGGCTTCAAAGAACCAGCCGTGGACAAGTGGGTATCAAGTAAATCAGCAGCCTTGTGCAGAATTTCATGTGCTAGCATCTTCTCCTTTAAAATACTTATTTAGGAATCTAGAGCCCTAATATTTTCTGTTGAGTGGCTTAGAAACTTTCTCTTATGTTAATTTTAGATATTTGTCTCTCTTTGGAAAATTTATTGATTAAAAGCCTAACCGTGCTAAGTTGGAATATGAAATCCAGGTCCCAGGTAGAGGAAGCACATGCTTTTTATGGATGACCCAGAAATTTATGGCCCTAACAGTGGCATTTTCTCTTAACTAGGACTGCCCGATAGCTTTTTCTGAAATAGTTTTATGCAGTGATGAAAATGTTATGTATCTACGCTGTCCAATATGGTAATGACTAGTCCCATGTGACTAGTGATTCACATTTGATATGTGGCTGGTACAACTGAGGACCGAATTATTTTGTTTTATTTAATTTAAATATAAACATGGCTAGTGGCTGCCATATTGGACAACATGGCTTAAACTCTAAATAGTTCATCTACTTCAGATAAACCACTGTTGCTATCCCCAGGAGTCTGCCTTCCTTTTCAAAGCTCTTAAGTAACATTTAAGATAAAATTCTTTTTATATCATAGTGGTTTTTAACCACTGTAAAACAATATAATATGTTTATATTGTTTTACAAACCACTGACCATTTAAAAATGGTATTAATGTTCCTGTGTATATTTCTCAGGGAGAAACTTCATCAAAGTCCAGCCATTGAAAGTGGAAGAAGATCAAACATTTTTGTGGACAAACTTAACATCAAAGGCTTACCTGTGAAAAACAACAGCAAATAAATAGCCATGCATTTCATTTGTTTAGTTTTGGTTGTTTTAACAGAGAAAGCAGTGGTGCTCGGTGATACACATTAAGACCAATGTCTTTTTGCTAAATCAATACTGTACTTCGCAACTTTCTTCTGATATCTGAATGTTCATGGAAGCGCTAACTTTATAGTAGCCCTTCTTTAGGAATAAAATTTCGATTTTCAACTACATGAGTAAATGGTTAAGCGTTCTATAAAATTCTTTAAAACACACTCACATGCTTATTTTGCTTTCTCAGTTATTTTTGTATTGGCTCTATGTTCTTTTATACTTAAGATTATTTATAAAGAAGCGAAATGTTAAAAAGAAGTCTGAACTTTTACTAACATTAGAGTAATGTTAATGGTTTAAATAATTTATCTCAAATCTTATAATGTATTATATAGCCAACTAGCTTAAAGCTTCTTTATTTAAAAATAATAAAGAAAATGGTATCAGTACTGTTTTATGAGAAATTAGTTATTATTTTGATAAAGGGCAAGAATAATCAAGTAGTTCAAAGAAAAATATTTTAAATTGCTAATATATTTATATGAGTTTTCTTGATATGGTTTCTTTATACAGTATGTTCTTTTTTGTTCTGTATCACACTGTTAACATTCATCAGACTCTAAATAGACCTTTCTCTAACTTCCTAAGGGGGTATATTTTCATTTTACTTATCCCCCAAAGAGCTTAATCTATCTCCAAGGTTAAGATAACGTTCTAAAGTTGCGGAGTCCTTGGAGAAACTCTACTCAGCTTTTTTTGTGACATTTAGAAAAATACATTTCGTATTCTGCAAACCAGAAAGATTGATTGTCTCCAAATTTGTTTGACAGCTGATGTGTGTTTTTGAGCAAGGTGCTTATTCACTTGTTCCTGTTGTAATTATGTCATTAAAAAATTCAACTTTACCTTTTTAATTCTAGAATTCAAGAATTAATCTGTTTTTCTAAAAATTAGGTTTGAATTATATAAGAATATAAAATCTTAACACTTATATCTGTTGTTTAAGACAACATTTCTATCAAGGAAAAAATGCCAGAAAATCTACTATCACTGTATAATCCTAAATATTTTTCTTTTTTAAGTTTAGAAGTAAAATTACATGACTATTCTCTTATTTTCTACATTTTGCTATTTTGTGTTAACTATTAATGATCACTATAAAAGATGCAAATTTGTTAATTTATTTTTATTACGCCTGTATTAAAATTTTCCTCTTGTGCATACTTCAGTATACTAGGAACATACCACATTAGAAAATTGTCATGAATTTTAAATGACACTTTTGTGTAAATTAACTCGATAGAGCAAAGTCTCAATAAAGTTGGCACTTCATAATTATTCATCGTACTGATGGTACCTTGAGTCACTAAATTTAAATCTGAAAACACACTTTTATATATTATTGTGCTTAATAGCATAACTCCTATACATCATATATGTGTACCAGTTAGAGAATTCACAGATACCTTTTTCTTCATAATTTGTTTACCAGGGAAATCAAATAAAAATTAAAATAGGTATTTCTTCTTATGATACAGTGCTTCCTTATGGGACATTTACAGAGAATGTAACAGACAGACATTAAGTGTCAGGTGGTGAACTTGCATGTGGCCTGAGCTGTGTACGTATGATCTTTTCATGGTCCTGGTTGGGCCCTTTTAAAAAAGCCATGCCTAAGGGAAGTTGCTTTTAGAAATAAGGACACAAAATCTGGTATTCCAAAATATGCACACATGTTTTCAAATAAGACTTAAGGCTTGCTAATAATAAGATTGATTACTATGCTACAGGAACCTAATTATCTTGTTTTGTACAGAAATCATTTCTGGCCTTTGACATTTGAAACTAATGTAAACTGATCTTTCTAACTCATTCCCTTTTTAGCATTCACTCATTTTTGTCTAGTGTAAATCATATACTCTAAATGTAAAATGTTTCATAAAAGCCATAAAAATTAGTAAAATTGTATTCAAATTGACATTTACTTAAATTATATGTATTGAATACCAGCTTAAATTGCTGAAAATAACTGAGGTGGAAATTTGCTTTAAAGATAGTGCTATTGCCTCAATTCCCAGAAGTAGATGTTAATTAAAGCTGTTGTTTCTTGATTTGTGGCATATGATGACTTTCCTTTAAATTGCATAGATGGGTCCCTGCGCAGTGGGTTCACCCCTGTAATCCTAGCACTCTGGGAGGCCCAGGTGGGTGAATTGCTTGCGCTCAGGAGTTCGAGATCAGGCTGAGCAAGAGCAAGAACCATGTCTCTAAAAATGCACTGTGACAAGCACCTATAGTCCCAGCTGCTCAGGAGGCTGAAGCAAGAGAATCACTTGAGCCCAAGAGCTTGAGGTTGTTGTAAGCTATGACACCTTGTCACTCTACCAAGAGGGTCAAAGTAAGACTCTATCTCAAAAAAAAAAAAAAAAAATTGCTTTTCAGAGCAAAGAAGTAATTACCCTTCACCTATTTGACTCCTCTGTTGTAATGAAATGAAAAGACACTTTCTTTTTCCTGCAGTGATAGATATAAAATGTATTAATTTGTATTATTCCTTGAAACTTCAAAATCATGTCTTCTAAATCACTGGATTTAAGCACAAACAAGAGAATATTAAACACCCCAATTGTCTATTCTACAAATGCTTTCATATTCCTTATTCTGTTGAAGTTGATATTTTAAAATTTTAGGTAGGGAACATTCTGCAAAATACCTGAACAGTACTCTTCAGAACTGTCAAGGTCATGAAAACACAAGGAAAGGCCAAGAAGCTATCACAGACTGGAGAAGGGTAGGAACGCTCGCTGGTGGAGAGCAGAAGGGGCGTTGGCTGCTGCTGCCAGCCGGGGGCTAAAGCAGATGTATCTCCCTGTTCCTCTCCCTGTGTGTGTCTTTTATGTTTGTTGTTCACGTCTGCCACTGTCAGCATTTCTGGATTCAAGGTATCTTTGGTGCTCTTCCAGGATAAAGGAAATAGAAAAAGAAAACAAAGTGAGGGAACGAATGCTATGTCATTCTTCAAATCCTAAGGTCCCTCCCTAGCTAGTCTCTTTCTCTGCTCTGAAGATGTTACGTTTGTTTTAAGTAAAGTATTATTTTCAAAGTTTTTAGTTACTCTTATCGGGAAGACTGTGTATGTTCCATCTTGTGTAGAACCAGAAGCCTCTTTTCTCAAATACTGCTTTATATATTTTAATGCTATGTTATTAGGTATCTATAGGCTTAGAATTGATACACCTTCTTGGCTAATCAAATCCTTTATTATTAAGGAGGGTCTCCTTTTATATCTAGTAGTCACATTAACCTTGAACGTTTTATTAGAATACAGATTTACTGGCTTTCTTTTGATTAATATTTGCCAGTTACATCTTTTCCATATTCTCAACATTTCCTTTTAGATATGTGACTTTTAGAAACAGCAGAGAACTGGATTTAAAAAAAAAATTGAGCTGACAGTTTTTGTCTTTCAACACAAATGTTTCATCTGTTTATCTTTTTAAATTATTACTTTGCATTTAACTTATCAATTTGTGTTTTATATTTACCTTTTTCCCTCTCTTCTTGCTTTCTTTCAAATTAATTTTTAATTGTCTTTTTTCTCATTTATCTGTTTCTAAGTCTATTCTTTCAGCGGCTACCTTATTTTTTTTTTAAGCAATAGGGTCTCGCAATGTTGCCCCAGTTAGAGTACAGTGGTGTGATCATACCTCAGTGCAGCTTAAAACCCCAGGCTCAAGCATTCCTCCTGCCTCAGCCTCCCTATAGCTAGGACTACAGGTACACAGCACAACTCCTGGCTAATTTTAAAATTTTTTGTAGAGGTAGTGTCTCGCTTTGTTGCCCAGGCTGGTTTACAACTCCTGGCCTCAAGGTGATCCTCCTGATTGGCCTCTCAAAGCAGGAGGATTACAGGTCTGAGCCACCAAGCCAGATCCCATGGCTATACAATTTTGACATGCATTCTTAACTTAGTCATCAATTAATCATTTTATCTTTATTTTAAACCATAACAATACAGGACTTAAGAAGAAGATTTTAATTTTAATCACTCTTTTCCAGTTTATATCTGTTATTCTCACATTTTAATTTAATTTACTTTCCAAAGGCTTGAGATTAGTTCTTACTGTTTTTTAAGAGACAAGGTCTCATTCTGTTGCCCAAGCTAGAGTGCAGAGGCCTGACTACCTCACTGTAATCTCTAATTTCTAGGTTCAAATGATCCTCCTGCCTCAGCCTCCCTAATAGCTGGGACCCCAAGCAGGCAAAAAAAAAAAAAAAATAACAATAATAATAATAACTAATAGTTTTATTTTTATTTGTAGAGACAAGGTCTTGATATGTTGCCCAGGCTGGTCTCAAGCTCCTGGCCTCAAACAATTCTTCTACCTTGGCTTCCCAAATTGCTGAGATTACAGTGTGAGCTATCCCACTGGGCCTAGTATTTTTTGTAAATCTGAATGATACTTTTTTCCAATTAACAAATTTTTAAAAAGTGATTTGATAGATCTGAACATACTTTTCAGACCCTTTAAATAGGCCAAAAGTACATCACTTTAAAACCGGGCATTATAAATCAGTGAAAAGAAAAAGTATAATTGTATCTTGAAGTTCAGTAAAGTGAAGCCTCCTAATTTGTCCTTCTTCCTTACGGTTGCTTTGTCTATTTGGGCTCTTTTCAGGTTCCATAGGAAACATGGAGTTATTTTTTCTAGATCTGCCAAAAGTGACATTGGTACTTTAATAGAGATTTTGTTGACTCTGTAGATCCCTTTGGGTAGTAGGACATTTACAATCTTGGTTCTGCCCATTCATAAGCATTAGGTGTTTTACCATTTGTTTCACCTGCAACTTCCTTCCCTGTCGAGGTCTTTTGCCTCCTTGGCAAATATTCCTAGGTATTTTCTTTGTTGCTATTATGAAAGAGATTGACTCTTTGAATTGATCTGCAGATTGACTGTTGATGTATGGGAATGCTATTGATTTGTTTACATTGTATCTGAGACTCTGCTGAGTTTATTTAACCAATTCCTGGACTCTTGGGAGACTTTTGGGGGTTTTTATAAGATTGGTATCATCAGTGGAGACTACTATTTTGACCTTTTCTATCCCTTTTGGGTATCCTTGATGTCTCTGTCTTATCCGATTGCCCTGGCTAGGACTTCCAGCTCTGTGTTG